TTATATCAAACTATTATTTTAAAGCAATTTTTCTTTTCCTGGTCACTAATTGCAATCTTATCTTCTATATCTGAAATTCTGACCTCACATTGGCTCATTCTGCTGTGTAAACTTTCAATGGAGTTTTTAATCTCCTGGATATCTGGTTGCATTTTTTTTATGGATTCCTTTTGTTTCCTATGCTCCTCAGAATGTTTCTCAGCTCCTGTATTTTTTTTTTATCTGTGTCCTCTCTAGATTTTTTAATCATGTATTGCACTATGGGCACAATCTCCTGATATCTGAGAAATTATTTTTGATTTCATTTTTTCCAGATCCTCTTTCATCGCCAGTTCAGGGAGTCCAGGTGGTTGAGTATCAGATTGTTCCATCTCTTTTCCCTTTGGGGTTGCTTTAGGGGATCTGGGAGTCTGGTTTTGAGACTTGTTTGCACGTCTTCTCATTTCAATGTGGGAGGAGGTGTGCTGTGGTTGCTGCATGGTTCATCTCCTTGGTGCTGCGGGTGGTGGTACGATGGTCCAGAAGGTTCGCCTCCTGTGCGCTGGTGGCAGCTCTGCCTCTCTGTGCTCGTGGTGGTGGTATGGTGGCTTGGAATGTTCACCTGATAATTAATTTCTTTACATGGAAAATAGAAATAATAATCCTCCTGTGTCAGTTACCATTTTCCATTATAGGGCTCCACAAGCTACCTCCAAATATGGTGGCTTTAAAAAACTTTTTTGTTGTTGCTCACAAGTCTCTGGGAAGCCTGGGCAGCTTGGGTGGGTCAGCTCTTGAGTCTGTGATCAGGTGTAAGTTGGGAAGGTGGCTCTGTTGACTCCTGCTGGGCTGCATAATTTATCTAGATGTCCTCTAGTGGTGAATTTATAGCCTGTCTGTGCTCCCTGATGCCTCAGCCTCCAGCAGGCTAGCCCAGGTGTGTCTCATGTGCCAAAGGGAGTTCCAGGACCATCAGAAGAAGTGTGCAGAGCACCTTGAGCCCTTGACTTGGAGCTGACATGGGGTCACTTCTGCAGACTCTGGTCAGACTAAGTCCAAGGCTGAGCTGTGATTCAAGGAGGAAAGAAATTGGCTTCACTTCTTAATAGTAAAGCTGCAGTGTCAGTCTGCAAAGAGCACTGGTACAGGGATGTGATGCAGAGAGCTAAGTTGTTTTAAAAACAATTTTATCACATTCCTTAAAGTAGCTGTTTTGAGCATTTAATGAAGTAGGATAGAGAGTGCCTACTCAGTGTTAGGATTCAATATAAAGTAGCAACTGTCAGTTTTCATGTAATGTTTCACTTATTTCTATTATTAAAATAATGCAGGATTTTTATTAAAAACTAGAAAGTTGATATAAATAAAAAGAAACAGAAAGGAACGTTTCCTTCATCCCCACTACACAGAAGCAACCATTGTCACTGATCTCTGTACTTTATACCAGTCATTTTTCCACATATTGTCTTCTGTATGGATTTCCTATCCTTTCTACACATGATTTTGTAGTCTGCTATTTTTCTCATGGCCTTAAATTATATTTCCCTGCTCCATTTACTAATTTAGTAGACATGCATTTCAGTGGTTATATCTGATTCTATAGTAAGTCTTTTACCGATCTCTGGGTGAATTCCAAGTTTAAGATACAAACAACACTGTGATGAACATCTAAGGTACACAACATTGTCGGATATTTCTTGTTACATTTAATGGCAGCTATTATTATCCATATTTCTATTTTTTTCTTCCAGCACTGGGTTCTCAGACTAGGATTTACTACGTGCTCTGCAAATATTTTAAAAGTTTGTACTGAATTATCAGTTTCCTTTGAAATTAGCACATATTAATTATATAGAATAAAGAGTTTTGTTGTGAATTTTCATACATATGTGTGACATACTTTGATCATATCTTCCCTCCTGATTACCTTCCCTTCCCTTCCTTCCCTTTCCCTGAAATACTAGTTTCTGATGAAGTTCCTGTATGATTGCTGATGACCCCACATGATGAACAACATCAGGATAGTACTGGCATGGTGATCTACAGTGTTTCTTCTCACATAAAGGCTGAGAGGTAGTGAAAACAAAATAAGCTCAAAGTAGCAAATGATGCATATAGAGATTTCTCCAAAGCAGACATGCAAATGGTCACTAAATGCATGGAAAGATGGTTGATATTACTAATCATGAGGGAAATGCAAATCAGAGCTGCAGAGAGATACCACGCATTAGGATGGCTACTGTAACAACAAAACACACACACACACACACACACACACACACACACACACACACACACACACCATGAAAGCCTCAGGTGTTGAAAACATGGGATAATTTGAAGCCCTGCCCATAGTTGTTGAAAATGAAAATCAGTGCAGTCACTGCATGTAACAATAGGGGAGTTCCTCAAAGAGTTAAGAATAGAATTATTGATGATCTAGCAATTCCACTTCTGGGTATATACCTAAAATAATTGAAAGGAAGTTCTTGAAGAGATATCTGCACATCCCTGTTCATAGCAGCACTATTCTCCATAGCTGAAAGGTGAATGTAATCCACATCTCCATCAGTGGATAACCACATAAGCCAAATGCAGTGTGTACAACTGATGGAGTATTCAGTCTTCAGGAAGGCAGTTCTGACACCTCCAACATGGAAGAATCTTGAGTGATATAAGCCAGTCACCAAAGGGCAAATATGGTATGTATGAGATACTTAGAGCAGTCAAATTCAGAGATAGAAAGTAAAATAGTTACGAGGATTGGGATGTTGTAGGGAAAGAATGGAAGAATTGTTTAACAGCTAGAGTTTTGATTTTGCAAGATGAAAAGTTCAGTGCACACTGTATGCATATATTGAAATATCACACTGAACCTCATTAATATGTACAATTCATACAATTTCATTTTTTAAAATCTGTGGAGATGGATAGTGGTAAAGGTTGCATGCACCATGAATGCACTTAATACCTTCAACTCATACATTTAGAAATTATTAAGGTGGCAAAATTAATGTTATATATGTTTCACTACAAATTTAAAAAGTAATTTTTAAAAGAAACGCTGAGAAGTATTAGCTTTACCCTTGCTGGGAAAAAATACTTGACACTTGCAACTTGAACGAGGAGAGGTTGATTTAATGGTTCATGTTTTCAGAAGTTTCAATCCACAGTTGGTGGGCTCCAAGGTAGAAACACTGTGGCAGAGGAAAGCTGCTCACCTCATGGCAGACAGGAAATGAAGAAATAGGGAAGAAGCTAAGAGAAAGGGGCCAGGAGCAGACACAGTGCCCAGAACCATGCCCTTATGACCCATCTAGACACACTCAGAAGTGTTCTTCACTAATCTAGGCATCTCTCAGGACAATCAAGTTGACAATCAAGGTTAACCATCACAGTAATGATGAAAGTCCTCATTTCCTTTTTTCCCCTGGAAGTTTTCTGCCTGACCCAGCTCACTGAAGGAGCTAACTTTTACATTCTGTGATTTTTTTAGGAAGGCATTCCTGTGCCCTGTGACCTCCCAGAGTTCTCCCCAGGGACTACTGTGGCTATTGTGGATCAGAATCCCTCCCAGGTAACAAGAGACCTAGGGACTAAGTTTCCCAGATGTGACATTTTTAATAAAATATTGGAAGATATGAGTCTTTAAGCTACCAAATTCTTCACACTGTCTACACCTGGAATCCCCCTGGGTTTGTTAGAGATGCACATTTGGGACACCCTCTCCCCTAGGTCCTGCATTGATTAGTCTGGAACAGAAATGAACTTGGAGTGAGAACCACTGTGCAACTTTATGCCTGAGTCCCCATCTTAGAAAGCACCCACTGGGGGCCTATGGTCAGAGCTGGGGTACCTCAGGATCCTCCAGCTACTCTGCTCTGGGAAGACCAGGCACCTTCAGAAAAAGATGCTGGCCTGGAAAAGACAGGGAGCTCTGGGAAGTGGAGGTTGGGGGGAGGGATGGCCTAGAATCCACTTATTGACCTTGGCTTAACCTTGTCTTAGACCATTGACCCTTTCCCTTGACTTTTATTATTTTTTTTTGCCCTTTACATTTTGGTGTGAAAATGCTCAGGCTGTGGAACCTGCCAGGTGTGGGTCCACTCTTGGTGACCTTGGGAACATTGCTTCACCTCTCTGAGCTTCCATTTTCTCATCTCCAAAATGGGAATGATGCTTTTCCCTGGGTGGTGCCTGTCAGTGAGATGCTGCACAGGCAACTCGTGGCACAGATTGTGGCACACAGCCGTATCCCACAATTGGCCTTTCCCCTGCCACTGGACACCTCAGGTCGCCCTTCTCATCCCTTGTCTCCCAGTAACCACAGTTGGCCTCCAAGCCTCCTCTTGCCACACAATGAGCTGTATCTGTCCTTGCAAAGCCCCTTCCTTCACAAGCCCTGGTGTCTGCCATGTTGTGCTTCTTGCTGGCAGCTCTCTGGGTCATCCTCTCCCCACCTACTTCTTCGCCTGTGCCTGGCCTTGGAAAGATCAAGCCCAAAGAGACCACTCAGTACTGTTAGTTGGGAAGAGTGGTGTAGTCCCCAAACCACAGTCCATTGGGCTGTGGTTTCAAGTGGCTACTTTGCCCAGCTGTCCACCTCAGCCCTAACATAGAAGGCCAAGGTATAGGCCTGGGATGCCTGGGATCCAGTTGCAGTTCTGCTTCTGGACTCACTGTGTAAGCCTGAATGTGTCCCTTGCCTTCTATGGAGCTCGGAGGGGTGTGGACCAACACTCCCAGCCACTGTCCTGCTGTGAACAGGACTCTCCCCACCTTAGCTCTGAAAGCTGCATATATGGGCCGCCCTGGGTCCTGGGCATACTGGAATGGTTGGTCACTGTCCACATCCCATTTCCTCCATAACTACTCAGTGTCCTTTTCGGTTGAGCCAATTCCTTGTGGGCCCTCGAATAAGCCCTTGAAACTCCCCAGGCCTCTCTGTTTCCCATAAGCAAAATTATAGAGTTGCTTGGATGGATGCTGAAGATAGTGCCTAGATTTAAAATTCCATGTCTGTGCTATTGAATCAAGTTCACTTTCTCTTCCAAAATGTTCTTTGAGTGCTGGTTTTATTTTTAAATTCATTCTCCAAGATTTTAGTTTGGAAAAATACAAAGAGTTCTAAGAGGAAGGGACAAGGAGAGAATCAATCTTTTCATGTTTGGCAATACACAAATAGACCAGCTATCTGTGTATATGCAATTTACAGAAGGCTTCCCCTCACTAAATCCTTACTGCAGCCTTCTGAGGAAGGTATTTCTGCTCTCCATTTTGCAAAGGGGGAAAAGAGGTTCAGAGAGGTCAAGTAAGTTGCCCAAGGCCACACAGGAATTAAAGACAGAGGCAGAATTCAGACCCCTTGCAGCAGAGAGGTTGCTACAGTTTTGTGGCTTCAACCATGAGTGCCTTGGGGTGAGTGGGAGCATAAGTCTAGGCTGACTGTGGCAGCTTGGATCCTGCCTCACTTCTGGCTGGTGGGAAGAAAGCCCACAGCTGGCCACTGTTGGGATCAGGGCTCCTCAGTGTATCCTGGGTCTCCCACCAGGTCCGCTTACCCACTGGAGGACGCACTGAGGATGCCAGGGGCCTTTTCTGGGTCTTGGATGAGGAGGTCCAGGCAGAGGGCTCCGAAGACAGCGTGGTGCTCGAGCGTCTGCGTACAGCCTTTGAGAAGAAGGGAGCTGGGGCCAAAGGTAAGGGAGCAAGGAGGAGGGGGAGGTGGCTGGGTCGAGCCTGAGTGTTGGAATCTGTCCATGTCATGTAGGAAAGGCCCTGACAAGGCCTGCACAGACACTGGGAGTACAGCAATGTCTGTGCATGTGCCTTTATATTCATTCATTCGTTCATTCATTCATTCATTCATGTAACAAACACATTAGCAGCCACAATGGGCTGGGTCCTGTTCTATAAAGCAGTGATCTGGCCTGACAGGGTCCCTATTCTTGTGGGGAAAATACAATGGGCAGTCTCTTGGGCAAGCACAAGCACTGTGAGGTGGAGGTTGGATTCTGAAGCTGTGCTTCAGGCAGATCTGATTTCTCTGGCAGTGGAGAGGACCACACATGCATATACATCTAACAACATGAAGGGAACACAAATGCAAGACAGGATGGAGGTGTGATCTGGAATCTGATGGCAGGAGCCCTTGTGGGACATGCACACATTTTGCTCTTAACCCTATAGCAGTGATGGTGAACCTTCCAGAGCTTTCAGTGATACAAATGATACTGTGGCACACGTTCCATAGGTTCACCCCCACTGCCCTAGAGCAATGAGAAGCCAGGAAGGATGTTAGGCAGTGGGAAGTATAGTCAGATTCATGTTCTAGAAGGTTGACCCAGGCTACAGTGTGAAGACATGATGGGAAGGCGGCTGATCAGGTGCAGGAGAAGCTGGCCTACCCAAGGGAGGTGTGCAGAGTCTGGAGGTGTTAAGCAGGTAAAGTCTATGCATGGCATTTGGTGATGGGTAGGGGAAATGAAAGGAGATTGAGACATCAAGCTGGAACAATGAGATCACGGGATTTGACATCTGTTGGCCCAAGTTCAAGTCCATGTTCCCTACTTTCTCCTGTGTAATGCTGAGCAACTCTTGTAGTCTTAGTTGACATGCTTTTAAAATGAGGAAGGGAGTTAGCCTAGCTCCTCTTTCTGCAGAATTTCTGCTACAGCTATTGTGTGAGTCATGTGTGTGTAGAGCTCTGTCATAATTCTACATGTTGTTGCAAGGTTATAGGGGAGGACAGAGTGTTGATGGTGACAAGGAGTATTCCTCTGTCATATGAGGGGTTAAAGGAATACTGTATACACTCTATGCAGGGTGGCATGCTCAGAGCTTTAGCTGTATGGTCTAGTAGGATTCTTTCGCAGGTCTGGAGGTAGATATTCTTATTGCCAAGATAAGGAAACAGATCTCCAGAGAGGTGGAGGTGCTTGTCCAAGGTCAAGCCAGAGGAGTCAGAAGGCAGATCCCAGACCAGGCTTGTCTGGATTAACTCTTGTGATCTCCACACCACCAGGGATTAAGGAAAGCAAATATGCTTTCAGATCTTCTTAGTCCCAACTGGCTTTGGGGACCAGGACAAATGTGAGCTCATTCATTATGGGCTTATTCAGTAAATATTGATGGAGCACCTATTATGAGCAGCCACTGTCCTTGCCTGGGAGGTACATCAGTGATCAAAACAGTGATCTAGGCAGGTCAGTCTGTATGAAGGAGACTGAGGACCATAATTTTGGTTTAGGCCACTGAGGGACAGAAGAGAAGATGATTAGGGACTCAGCCCTGGGACATTTTAGTGTCAGGGAGTTAGGGACAAGGTCACCAACCATGGCAGGAGCTTGAGGAAGAAGGGCAAGGGAGGAAAGATGGAGGCCAATGGATGTACTGTACTCACCACATCCTAGCATGATGGGCTTCTTTACCTTCTTCCAGTCTTGGGGGCTTCCTGACCACCTTGGGAAAAATAATAATCTCCCCTCATCTGAACTCTCATCTCCCTCCCCTGCTTTCCTCTCCCCCACTGAAGTGGTTACCATTAGACATCCCACACTTGCTCACCAGCCATCTTCCCTTTGAGGATAGGCTAGGATGGTTACCTCTGCTGAGCAGCACCTAGAATACCCCTAGTGTGATAAGGTGCACAAGGAGTACTTGACATAGAAGAGGTAAGAGGTAAACATGTGAAAACTCAGTGATCCAGGACCAAATGAAATGAAATTCTCAAATGGAACATTGCCTAGATTCTAACTTTTATGCAAGAGACAGAAACCAGGTTGGCAACAGAAGAAATCTTGTAGGGCATGGCTGGGGCAGAAATGGTCTCAGATATTTTGTTTAAAAAGTTCTTTCTCTCCAAAGCTTTCTGATTAGCTCTGAGTTAATGAGAACACTCAATCAACCAGAACACTTAGGGCATTCTGGCTAATCAGGGCTTGCTCTTTATGACCCCTTAGCCTCATCTAAGGTACATTTTGCTGAATGTCCTCACATTGGCAAGTGAGTTCACTGGGAGCATTGTGGGCCTAGAGGAAGTCAATGATTAGCAAAAACTGTAGGGGTGACCTGCAGGGGCTGTGGGTGACCTGGTTGAGGGGTTCAGGGTCTTGGGTGAGGTAGTGAAGCCTGAAACCATGCTGGATAAATGTCCATCTCCCAGGAGTTTTCATGGGTCTCCTGAAAACCCAAAGATTTCTGCAAAATGCTTTGATGAATAAAATTGTGGTGTGAAAACCAATTCCAGAAGAAAGAAATGAATGAGAGGAATGAGCAGCCCTGGATCCTACAAGCTGATCTCCAGCACAGTTCCCAAGAAATGTGGCATCTCTGGTCAGGAGCAGGCTTTGATGCTAGCTTACTTGTGTATCTGCATCCTGGCCCCACTTTGACAAGCTCTGCATCTTTATCAGAGTTGCCTCATCTTTCTGAAGTTCAATGTCATCTTCCAGAAACCAGACCAGGGATGCTCACATCACTGGGCAGAGTGAAGGCAAAGTGATATCCTCTGAGTTAGCCTTCCAGCAGAGTGGGCAGCCTGCCTGGAGCTTAGCAAACATTAACATCTTTTTTTCTGTATTCCCCCTTTCCACAGGAAGATCCTACTTAGAGCCAAGCTCTGTGGTAATTGAGAAGCCTTATGACAAATGAACCCCAATTCCTACTCTCAAGTTGCTTCCAGACCACTGGAGGGAGGGAAACCACATAAACAGATACCTGTTTAGGGACAGTACAGCCATATGTGCCAGAGCCTGGTGTGCACCTTGCTACCTTGCTTCCTGTGGAATGCTGTTCTTTCCTATTGGAAGGCGATTCCCATGAGGCCAGGGACAACACATTTCTGAAGGTCTCACAGGAGGCTCTTGATGCAGTGGCACTTCACTTAACTGGAGATGTTCCTTGATGACAGCTTCAGTTATCCAGAACTTAGAAGTGATCCAGGCAGTGGGCACAAAAGACCTCTGTGCAGCCAGACAGGTGGTGGAATCCATGGCCTTTCCTCACGGAAGCCTGCAGATTCTCTGACTGGGTATATTTGCACGGAGTTCAAGAAATGCAGGTCTCTGATTTCTAAGATCATTACAGTTTAGAGATAGCAGATTAGGTCTTGAGAGAAAGACTCAAGACCATGATGTATGTGAAATATTGACAATAGCAGGGAAGAAAACTAAGGAAGGTCATGCAGAAGTGATATAGGAATCACCCAACACTACCTCACTAATAATAATCAGTTTGGAGCCATTTAGGGGAGGGACAACTCTTCCAAACATGGCAGTGCAACCTGAGAGCGTCATGATGGTCAGGGCAATATAACTAATAACCAGAAGTTCATTTATTTATTAATTCATTCCACAAGCACTTCTGGACTCTGCATGTGCTAAGTATGATGCTGGGCACTGGGGGTATGGGGGTAAACACTGTGTTGTTCCAGAGTATCAGTATAACGTTAAATGCAGTCAATAACAGTGACAGCCGCTATTGCTAATTGAGTGACTACTAAAGTATTTTACACTCAGTATCCTAAAGGAGTCTTATGCTACCATGGGAAGTTTGTATTATTTAATTTCCATTTTACAAAGGAGGAAGCTGAGGCTCAGCAACTTAAGTAGCTTGGCCCCTTGTACACCATAATGAATGGCAAGGAACTAGATTTTTCTCTACATACAAGGCCAGCCCCTTTTGTTCCTCTTACCCTTATTCTTGCAATCAAGTGTGTGCCAGCATCTCCTGAGAGAATGCTGTACTTTTATTTGGTTGATAATATTTAAGACAATTTTAGACATAATATGAACGAATATTTCAAACATATTTAATAACTTTATTTCCATACATATTAGAAAATAAATCTAGCTTGTATATCAAACCTGCAATCATATGCTGCTTTTTAAATGAATGTATTTGTAAAAATATTGATTTAAAGGAAACATTAAGTAAATCACAGCCTAGACGATACATGGATACACATAGCAAAATTCATGAAGATTATGTGTACTGATAATGCTTGGGTCAAATAGGTATCCTGAAAGCCAAGAAGAATAGAATCCACTTTGGAAATAATGTGTTCAATACATAAGAGAAATGTAGGCATTTTGAACTGGTAGCTTTAGCTATCTGGAAAGATATTAAAATGGAAACTGTGTTCTTGGGGATACCAGCTGATTGCAGAATGTCCCCAACATTCATGCCATTGTGTCTGCTTTCAGGGACCTCTGCCCTGCGGACCTGTGAGCAGCCCCTCCAGTGTGAGATTTTCCATCAGCTTGGACAGGACCCCGTGCGCTATGACCTCACGGGCTGGCTGCACAGAGCCAAGCCCAATTTCTCGGCACTGGATGCACCCCAGCTCCTGCAGCAGTCAAAGAGGTGAGCCAGGCAAGAACCGGCGGTGGATGGGGCTATTTGAGGTGCTGCAGTTCCATCCCTACTGGTACCTCTAAGCCACAACAACCAGTGCGTGGAGGCCGGTCGGGGACCCCATTTCCCCATAATGGACTAAAGAGCTGTGACTTGAATTGGAGTGGTACAAGTATCTCCCCAGGGCCAGAGCAAATCCAGCCAAGGAGAAAAGCTGACTGTCTGGGGAGGTGGCACAAAAGCTAAAAAAGCTGTGACTTCTTATTTTGGCCTTTTGCTTTTCATTAAGTATCTGAGAGATGTGATTGGAACAACTTTTATGGACCTCCTAGAACTTAGGGGGTTGTAAAACTAAAATGACTCATTTTGTAGCATTATAAAAAGCTCACCACATTCCCTGGTTGCTGGACCCAGAAGGGCAGGCAGTGATCATGCTATCACTTTGGAGTTAATGGAAAACGCTTGTTTTGTGTGTGTGAGCCTGGTACACCTCCCAAGTTCAATGCCAGAAACCTGCAGGAGTGGAGCTTGGAGACAAGAAGAGGAGGTGGTGGAGGAGGGCAGAAGGGCAGAAGAGTGAGGAAGGAATGTTTACTGACTGCCCCCCTATGGGCCTTGCATCAACATCAGTGACTTTTACATATCTTATAAAGCAACACCATACCTTAGCCCAATTTTAAAGATGTGAAAATGGAGGCCCCATGTAGGCTTGCCTTCACACAGAAAGTGGGATACAGCTGGGATACAGCTTGAGTCTATGTGATCCTTGGGAAAGTTCTCAGGATGCTATGGATACCATTAATTGGAAGCCTCAAATCTAGGAGAGCTTGGGAACACAGCTACTGAAGAGAGTTCAAGGCAGGGATGGATAAAAGGAAGTTTAGCAAGCTCACAAATAATAACAGGGAGCCAGGGCACCTGAGTGACTGCAGGTAGTCTCTTTCCTCTCAATTATTTTTGCTTCTTCCAGCATAAGAGTTAGATGGAGCAGACAAAAGATTCAGGAGCTATAGCATCTCACTGAAGTCAGGCAGATGTTCAAATTCTGCTTCTGTCTCTCTCCAGCTACATGTCCTGGGCTTCAGTTTTATCAGCTAGAAAATGGACATGATAACCCCAAGCTTGGATGTTTAATGTGAGGCTTGGGTGATGTAAGGTAGCAAAGAGTTTATTAAGGAGCCTGGTTCAAATAAAGCTCTCATCTTGAGGCCTTGTAAATTTCCTTCCTGCTTTAAAATCCTTTGGCTCAGTCCAAGAGAGGGACACTGAGTTAGGGAAGGGTAAGGCAAAACTTTATGGACCACATGACATTCCCATGTGAGCCATGTATGAAGTCTCAGCTCCATGGAAGTGGGCAGAAGAGCACAGTGCATTTGGGAGTCAATCCCAAATGAAAGTATTACATGCGAAAAAAAAAGTATTACATGCAATCCATCTGGTTTTTTTGTTTTTTTGTTTGTTTTTTTTTGGTACTGGGGATTGAACTCAGGACCGTGCACTTGCGAGGCAGGTGGCGGAACCACTGAGCTAAATCCCCAGACCATGCGATCCATCTGTAGAGCCAAACCTTGGTGATTTTGAAGGATAAACAGCACTTTTTAGGAGAGTGTGGCACTGAAGCCAAGAGCCTGAGATCCCCTGGGACAGTGTGCTCAGCATTGTGACTCCTGGGCCCTGCCTTGAGCCACTAGGGTGGATCCTAGGGCCTTGCATGGCTGAGGAGCTTTCCATAAATAAAATTCTTAAGTATAGTCAAGTTTCAGAACCATTGTTTCTGTCCAAAATTCATTTATTTTATTCTTGAGGAGCTGAGATCCCTAGGAATGAACAGATGACTTGGCCCAGGTCACATGGTAAATTGAAAACAGGCTTCAATTCAACCACGCAGATACAGCAATCCACACATAGAGGTCAGGGCTACAGGTGTGAATGAATCTCCTTGGATCAATGTGTGGGCTTCACTGCCCAGGTGGCCTCAGCTTCTCCACAGGAAGGCCCTTGCTTCCTATGTACTCACTCGGCATCCTGTCCAGACTTTCAATTTAGCAACCATGTGGCCAAGCCTTTGTTCATCTTTGAGCATGTACCACACATGTAATTTTGGGCTCCTTGGGCAGTGCTTGTTTCCTGAGTAGTTTGGATAGTCAGGTCAGGAACTGGGGAACATGGGTGAAGTATTTTCAGGACTGGGGCTGGGGGTGGGACATGAACTTTGAGTGAATGATGAAAGATGCCTGAGTGCTTCCAAGGGAGCTCAGGAGTGGGGCACCAGTCCTTCTCTGGGTCTCAGTCCCCCCTAGGGAAGAAAGGGTCTTCTAGCCTGCTTTGTCCCTTTTTTTCCAAACAAGAGGCCAGACTAGCATGGGTTGATCAGAGCAGACCTTTATTAAGGGACTGGCTGCCCTTGCCATGTCAGAGCTAGTCCATTGCAGGAATGCTAACGGAAGGCCTTAGCTGTCACCTTGGCATGAGGCTCGGCATGTCATTGGCATTAATCTTGCAGCTCCATTCATTCCCGCATGAAATGTACAGTAAGGCCTACTGTATACTAGACCAGTTCTAGGGACCACAAAGATGACAGTGCCCTCTAAGGTGGCACTGACCAGTTTAGTAGGATTGCTGCAGTAGGGAAAAGCTGGTGGTCAGGGAGGACAGAGCGCTTGTTGGTGGGATGAAGAAGTTGAGGGAGGAGCTGGCACTTGTCATTAAGAGAAGTCTCCAGTGGCAGAAGAAACAGTGAGCAAATGGGTAAGAACAGGAAGCAAGGGGGTGTAATCCTTTCATTCACCAGGGCAAGGGCTCCCCAAGAGTCCTTGAGCCCTCCCTCTTTTCCCTCCTACTCCAGGGAGGAGCTGCAAAGCTTATTCCAGGGCCGTGCCAAGCTGCCACCTGTGTGCCAGGCTGTGGCAGGCCTGGAGGGCACCTCCCAGCAGGCCCTGCATAGGAGCCGTGTGGTGAGGAGGACGTTTACCAGCAGCCTTGCCTCAACCAGGAGGAGAGCTCCGTGCTCCCAGATCAAGCTGCAGATGGTGAGCGGGGCCCGGCCTGGGAAGTACACCCTTCCAGGCCACAGATCCTCATCTCCTCTGGGGAGGGGCATCTACGCCAGTCACCTCTTGCCTCCCCAGAAACCCTGGGAAAGACATATCTGATGCTTGTCTGAGGAGAAAATGGAGGCTCCAGGGCACAAATAAGCTTGACCATGGCCATGGCCTGGGAAATGGTTGAGCTGAGCCTGAAGCCGAAGCCTCCATGGCTTGGCATTGCATTGAGGGGTGTGGGGTCTCCCCAGGAGTCACACATGCCCTCTTGGCTAGGGTGACAAATACCAGACTATCTGCACTGCTTCTCACACCATGAGGCTGTCTCTCTTTGGGGATAGTCAGCAGGACCCAGGGCTGGATGTAAATATGTTCCCTAGATCCAGAACATTATCAAATGAGAACATTCAGTTGGTCAATAGGCTGAACTCAAATGAGAACAGGCTGGGACATGGGAAGAATATGTTTGGAAAAAATTCTCATAGCATATTACAAAGGAAAAGCCCTGAGACTAAGTCTTTTCTGCCCCAGGTCTTCTGTGGGTGGTCTATGTGTCCTGGGACTACCCACTGGCCGCTCTATGCTTCACTCTCCCCATCTGTCTCACCTAGGGGTGTTATAAAGCCCCCTTATTTCTCATGAGTACACATCAGAATGGAGGTGAGATGACCTTGGTGTAGGACACAGGGCCCCAGAGGTGCCCAGGGCAGGCTGAATGTAAGTGTGGGGAGTGGCAAGGACCCTGTCTGCTTCCCTTTGACAGCAGTCCCTAATCTCCTCTCCTCTTGGCCTTAGGATGCACTGATCAGCTTGGTAAGACGGTCTCAACTGCACTTTATCCACTGTCTGGTGCCAACCCCAGCATTGGACAATAAGGGTGGGCAGGAGTCTTCAGCACCACCTTTGCCTGGAGACCAGCAGGAGGCGAGCAAGCCCCTGGCCCCAGATATCCCGGCACTGAGGGTCCAGCTTGTGGGCTCTCACATCCTGGAGGCGCTGCGTCTGCACAGGACAGGTAAGAGACAGCTGGGAACCTGATCTCTGAATTTGGGACCTGCTTGTTTACCAGTGGCAGCCAAGGGACCTTAGTACTTATTGTGCTCGAGGAGCTGTTTCCAGCCCTATGAGGGAGAGACTGCGTTCAGTCCAGAGAAGTGAAGGGACTTGGCCAAGGTCACACTGCTGGGACGAGGCACAGTCTGGATTTGGACCAGACTCATGTGATTTCTGGAATTGCTTGCATGCTCCTCAAAGGCTGGGACTGTATCTTCCTCATCTGTCTTGGGTAGAGAGCAGACTTACCACAATGAGTAATAATTTGATGTTTGAGATGCTTGATTTAGTTTGCAAGATCATTATGATCACAGGAAACAATAATATGAGGAAGGCATATGTCACACAGGGATGCAGCAGGTATACAGACGCCTAAAGGAGGGAGTTTTATCTTCCTGGGAGATTGGGGAATCCTCCTAGAGGATGTAAAACCCTAAATGGGTCTTGCAGCATAAGAAACAGCTCCTGCTGGAAGGTGCGGGGAGAGGGAACCTTAGGCAGAAAAATCAGCAGGTGCCAAGGTGAGCAGATGTAAAAGAACCTGGGTTTTCAGTAATGTTGTTCAAAATGCATGCAGAATTATGGGAGAAGGGGCTGGTGCCTCCACCAGAGAGGACTGTGAGTGCTTTTGCCAGGCACTTAGCTTTCACTGGGTCAGCCAGAGAGATGATGGGGGTTAGGGGATACAGGGGATTTAGCCAAAGGAAAGAAGTTATCAGGTCTGTAGTTGACTAAGCAAGCATATGCCTGCAGTACCCACCACTACTTCATCTTGGGAGTTGAGTTTGATCTTAAACCTTCCCATTCTTCTCTGCCTCTCAGCCCCCAAAGGCTGCCCCACAATTCCCCCTCCCCAACCATAGAAATGGTTCAGTACAGCCTGCCTCTCCACAGAGGATGGTGTGGCTGGGGCTGGTGGGAGTTGCAGGTGGGCAGCTGTTTGTTTAATGTCTCTGTGGTCACTAACACCCAGGCTTGTGGTCGCCTCACCATCTCCCCCACTATGTTAATAATAGAACCCTGCCATGAAGTATTTGGCAGAGAAGCTGGGAGCAGCTGGAAGCAAGGCTGAGACTTGAACTCCCCTGGGCACATCATTGATTTTCCCGCCCACTTGTGCAGCCACAGGCAGAGGGAGACAGATAACGTCACAGGGGAAGAATGAGATGGTCACAGCCGGCAGCTCAGCCCCTGCAGTTGATCATTTCCACCTAGCTGGCAGGCAGAGAGCACTGGGCCTTTGCAGCCTCCTTGGTCTGCTGTCCAGTTAGCACCCCAGTGTGCATGCTTGGGTATCTTCCTCCTCACCGCAGGGGCTGCCTCATCTGTAAACAGACCAACTCAGCCAGTGTGAGGTTTCCAGCTGAGTAAAGGGTTGATGTTTCATGGTAGAACTTTCCAGTTTCTGCCTCCCAGACCTGGTTTGTTTCCTCCTTTTTTCCCCCTATTCTAAGTCATTTCTGTCTTTCACACTCACATAAGATATATTTACATGCATACATAGATGCATGCATTAAATATTTATGAATTTGAATTCATGCCTATATTACAAATACATCTATATGTGCATGTATAATGCATAGAAATGTATGCTATTTTTTGAGTGCCTACCATGTGCCAGAGACATGTTACATGCACTAAATGAGGTCATTCTCACAAAGCTCTTAGGACAGTGCCCGGCACAGTCAATCTTCTGAGTCTGTGGGTTCCACATCTGTGCATTCAACCAGCCTAGGATCAAGAGTGTCTAAAAGAAGACTGCATCTGTAGTGAACACACACAGACATTTTCTTGTCATTCATTGTTACCCACATAATATAGTACAACTATTTATACAGCATTTACATCATATTAGCTATTGTAAGTTATCTAGAGATAGTTTAAAGTATATGGGAGGATGTGAAGATACTGAGGGATGACTGTTTAGCAAATGTTCATTAAACATTATCTGTCATACAGCCTGCAGGGCACAGCTCAGACTGTCACCACCTATGTGACCCCAGGCAAGTCCCTAGAGCATGCTCTGTTTCCTCTCCAATAGTTGCCGAGTTGGGTGGGTTAATAAAAGAGTAAAGCTTAGGAGAGTAGCTGGCTGTGCAAAGCACATAGTATGCCTTAGCCACTTTCACTCATACTGTCATCAGATGTCACCCTGCAGTGACCATGGATGTGAGGATACATCTTGTTATTTTCATTTTTCAGATAAAGAAATTGAATTGCCCAGAGGTAGCATCTGCTATCCCTATTACAGGGATAATAAGGGCAGAGATGGAATGTGAACCCAGCAAAATCTGACCTAAAAGAACAATGCAGGCTTGTAACCTCCTGGATCCCTGTCTTTGTGCTGTCCACATTTTCCAGAGCTTCCCCGAGACCCTCTTCCTCTCCCAGGAAGACTTCTTAGATTTTCTCTCCACATCCCTTATTGCTCTTTCTCCTGATTTATGCACCTGACTTATTGTGGAGTCTCAAAATCAGAGTAGGATTCCACCAGATCTCCTCCAACCCAGCCACTTGCAGGATCTTTCTGCAGCAAGGGAGCCTCTGCCACATCCTTCACAACTTGGAAGAAGTTCAAACTTGATACTTAGAATCAAAGTTCATGTTTCTTTTGGCCCAGTCTCTGCTCATCTTTGGCTATTCTCCACTAGATTATTTTTCACTGCTTGAGTTTAAATCCAGGCTAAGACAGTTACCATCTATGTGACCAGGTACACTTAACTCTCTGGGCCTCAATTTCCATATTCATAAAATGAGGATAATAATAAAGGTCCAAGAGTCTCTAAAACATGAGGAGGTCACACCCTCGTGTCTTGCACATAAGTGCTCAGTAAAGGCTGGGTGTTGCTGTGACCCTGGGATCAAGTTTGTTTCCCCACTAAGTCTTGTCTTCATAGTTCCCTCTGTGTAGATTTTCTTTCCATGCCAAGTCCTGGAAAACTCTTCTGGCTCCTTCACAGCCTAGCTCTTGAAATTCCCATTCTCTGTAGTTTCCCACACCTCAGAGTGCAACTCTGTCCACCCATGTGATAGAGTTGAAAAGCCTCGAATACCTCCCAGTGCAGCATCCCTCTAGGGCATTCTATAGAGTAAAAAATATACTGGACAAAAAACTTTCCATGGGTGAGCAGGTTTGGGTAGATCAAGACCAACCAGTTATCTCCACCACAGGATTTCTCAGAGCTTTTGACTTGGATATTGACGTGAACTGTGACCTTCTGAGAGGCAGAGGAGAGTTCAGACTTTTCAAAATGTCAGTGGTGTATTGAATGGGGTTCATATTTTGAGGAGTACATTTGAGAAGTGGCTGTCAAATTCAGTCTGTTCAATTAGCAAAATTAGCTGAGGTACTGGCATGGGAATCTGCACAAGTTAGTAGTCAATCGGAGAGCAGGATGCTGAACTCCTCCCTGGGGGTCCAGATCACAGGGATGTCTCTTCTCTTTTGGCCTCTGTGACTTCTTTTGCTTGCTTCCCCTCCCTAGGCTACGCTGACCACATGGGGCTCAGTCAGTTCCGCCGGTGTTTCCAGGTGCTGGACCCTGCGCTGCTGAAGAAGTTCATGTCAGTCCCTGAGGGAATAGATGAAAGGAAGGTATGTGAAGCTGATGCAAGAGTGTGGGCTCCCTAGATGCCTCTGCTGAGCTCCTCTGACATATGGGACTCCCCCAAGGGATATTTGGACCAGGTGGGACCTGAGAGTGAGGCCTTGGGGCAATACTAAGGACAGCATGAGGTTTGCCTCAGATCCGTGTTTCAGATCACACCCTCTCCACCGTGTCCTTGGGGACCATCCATCCACCTACCGCAATGGCCCTTCTCAAACCCTAGGTGAAGAAGTAAAAGAGGAGAATGAGAGCAGAATAATGAGAACAGTGTGTCCCAGCTAAAAGGGACTGCAGCAAGATGAAAAGTCACCATTTCCTAAGGTGTCCTACTGAGTACCAGCATCCTGGGATGTTCCACATGAAGAGGGCTTCAGCGTCCAAAGTACATGGGAGATATTTTACACTAGGGCTCTCCACTTAGGGATTGTAATGAATGTTTTCTTCAGGGCCTCTGCACTAGCTCTTTGCCTTACCTGGAACACTCTCCTCCAATCTTGCACAGCTGGTGATATCCAGCTATCAAATTCTGGCTCATATATGAATCTCTGTCAGATCCCCTTTGTTTTAATGTTTGTGTAGCCCCTATCCTTATTGGAAATTATGTAAACACCCTATATGTTTTTGGCTCCTATTGTCCCAGCTAAAAGATACCACAGCATGACCAAATTGGCTTGGCCAGTATTGACAAACTCAATTATTTTTAATTGTGTGAATACACAGTACTTACCTGTGTGTTTTGCTCCTGTGCATCTCCTTTCTCCAACTCTGCTATACATTCATGAACTCTTGTCTTTATTCCTGGTGCCAAAGTCTTCACAATAAATGTTTCTGTTGAGAATGGCTACAGGCTTATCAATAATTACAGAGCTTGTTAGAATTTGCAAAGCCCAGTTGCCCAGTTGCACTGCAGCAGCCCTGCAAAACAAGAGCTATTATGTGCTTGCTTTTTACAAATGACAAAATGAAAGCTCTTAGAAGTGAAGCCACCCTCCTGAGGCCACACAACCAGGCATTTGTGGGTTTGTTCCTTGAACTTTACTGCCTGGATTTCAGGGGTTGGTAGTTGAAAAAATAGGTCTCAAGTCAAATAGAAATGAATTTGACTCCCAGCTTGGGGAATGTGAGCTTAAGCAAGTTACTTATTCCTTCTGTCTCAGGTTCCCCATCTGTACAGTGGGACAATCAATAATGCCTATGTCCACAAGGTGTTCTGAGGATGTCATTTTTGGCACAGTTGATGTGCTGTACACAGGGCTTGGCATATAGTACAGGCTCAATAGATATTAACTATGCTACCAACATCACTGGCATCTTTTAAGGCCAGAGTGATGGCAGCTGAACCAGGCAGCCTCTGTACTGTGTTGAAACCTCACCTCTACAGGAGTGTGTCCATGTGTGCCTGAGATCATCAGCACTGTAGTCCTCCGTCAGTAAATTATAAGGCTAGAGGAGGAACCAGAGTCACAGTTCTCAGCCCCCTTGGCTCTTCTCTGTACCAGGGAACAGGCCAGCTCCAGCAGACAGGGCAGTACCAGCTCACCATGAGAAGGGTCATGGTGCAGGGTCACATGTGCTGCAGGGCCATCCTCTCTCAGTGTGGTAGTTTAGTTTAGAAGTCATGAAATTCTGCTTGGCTTGTTGCCATCAACAACTCTGCCAATGATTCCTGGAGGTTCTTTATCTTTGGTTCCTCCAAACTTGATCTCCTTGCAGAGGGCATGGAATGGAGCCGTTGAAAAGGTCTTGGGTTCCTCTGCAGTTGAGAATGGGGCTGGAGTTGGGTGTGGGGGCATTTTCTGCAGGGGGAATTGGGTGTAGCATATGGCACCATTTCTATTCTGGATGAATCAGCAGGTTTGTGTCCTAGCCAAGCTGAAGCCTACTCAGTATACACTAGAGGCCTCAGGAAAATGGAAAATTACAAGTGGAATGGACTTGGTTGGCGGTTTTTGTTTCTTCGTATTCTTTTTATATTTGCTCACAAATTTCATTTGCCATAGCATAGAAATTTAGTAGCAAAGAAAGGAAACACCATTCTGCTTCTTATGAAAAAGCTGATAAATATTCATTCACTAGGCAATGCAATATGCCATGAATTATACATGAACACGTGCTCGGGCGGGCAAACCAGCGGCCTCTGTGTGCAAAGCAGTTAAGACCTCAGGATTTAATAAGACAAGTTTGACAGCTAGAAAAGGTCAATATTGTCATCAGACGCTAGACGGCAGCAGAGGAAATTCATTGGCAGGGTATAAAATGGGCTTGGTGAAGTGTCCTTCATGCCTAACGTGTGGTGTCTTTTTATGCCACGACTGCTTCCCAGTGAAATACTCTCATTTTCTGGGCACTTGCTGGATATTTTGTATTCCTGAAACAAATATCATGTATTTTGTCACACCTTTTACCACATATGTGCACATGTGTAGCAGAAAAGTACTGTGTATAATGTGAAAGGTTAGAAGCAACTTGAGACAACTCGAACCAAGGACCTGTTTCTTGATGAATGGGACACAGTACTGAGGCAAAACGCACCAGAACAAGCAATTTCCGTACTGAGTGATGGCCTTCCAAAGGCTTTTCAGCAGAGGTATAGAATCAAAGACTTTGGCTGGCTTAAGGAAAATCATAAAGGAAGTGAAATCCTTTTGGCCCATTCTATAATGCTCTTTAGGAAGCAGTGTCTATGCTGACCTCTAGCTGCTCAGGATGTTCCTGTCTCTTTTAGCACCTAGAAACGTTCTCAGGCTTCTCAAATGGGAAGCCTTTCCTCTCTATTGTGGGTTCCATTCCTCTTTCCCACTACCCCATCTGGTTAAGATTATGCTTTAACCAACAGTGAAGTCCACTCAGAGCAACTACCGTGGTGGAATTACAGGCAAGTCAGTGAAGGAGCTCTTTCAGCTCCCTTTGGCTGCCTCCCAGACTCTGCTGGAGCAGTAGTTGCCAAGTCCCTGATTGATGTGGTGCAAAAAAACCCTTGGGCCCACCCTCTTCCCCTCAGAGTGTCTACAGTGTTGATTGATTTTAGCCAACATCTCTTTCCCTGGGGACTTGATCTGAAGAACATAATTAAGAGCTTTCAATTCATCTTCTCAAAGGCAGCCACTGTCTCTCTTTCTCAAACTCTGGTGGATGCTCCCAGTTTCTTCTGAATTCATCCCAATAGTCCTCTGTTGAAAAGAGGTCCTTAGGAGGCCAGGCCTAGAGAGGGAGCTGTCCACTTTCCAGGTGCTGAATGTAGAATGTATATAGCACTTTTCTTGCTCACTGTGCTATGCCCTTCTAGTTTGGATGTACTGTTTTAATCACTGTATATATTATATAGTCAGTATTAGCCAGCCTAGTGTGTGTGTGTGTGTGTGTGTGTGTGTGTGTGTGTGTGTGTGTATAGTTTCTACTTTGTTCCAGGCCTTCTTTTACCGTCCAAAGCATATAGAGTTAAATAACAGATTATCTCCATCTTTAGGGAAAGATTAATTCACTGTGTGAGTGAGAGGTTCAATAGTCAAGTACATGGTTTAGATCAGAAGAACTGTGTTCAAATTGTGTCTTTGCCCCTATCTCTTTGTGTGAACATGGACAAATGTGATAGCCATAGCAGAGTGTCTAGCACGTAGTAAGTTTTCAACAGATAAGCAATATGAATCTGGGTTTCATGGGGGTAAGATGCTGTACTGATGGGAGCCAGTGGTTCACAAGGAGAACATCCTATTCCACAGACTTGTGAATCTCAACTCACTTCCCAGCTAAGGCTCATCACTCTTCCTAGGGTCTTTCACTGCCTGTCCAGCATATACAGCCTAATGTAAGATGTCAGCCCATATGCTATTGAGTGCCTCCTTCTTGGATATTATAGAGAAATCTCTTGCATAATTCTAGAACACAATTTTTATATATAATTGTTCTATCAATTGAAAAGAGTCAGGTATTAAAGCCTCCAACTGACGGTATTCAATTGTCTATTCTTTAATTATATTCATGTTTGCTTTACATGTTTAGGGCTTTCTGTTTAGGTACACACATTATTTATAATTGCTATATCTTCCTGGTGGATTGATACCTTTATTACTTCAGAATGTCCCTCTTTGTTTCCAGTGATGACTTTTGTTTTAAATTCAATTTTGTTTACTGTTAATACAGCTGCCCCAGCTCTCTTATGTTTACTGTTTACATAGTATATCTTGTTTCATTTCTTCCCTTTGTAAAGTCTGTTTTTGAATATAAGCTCTATCTCTTGTAAACAGTATAGAGTTGTCATTTTTTCAAATCCAGGCTGTCAGTCTCAGCCATTTTATTAGCATGTTCAATCCATTTATATGTAATGTGATTTAAAAAATATTATTTTATTGGTACATTTTAGGTATACAATATAATGACATTCATCATTGGAAATTTGCACCTTTACATAGTC